AAAAAAAAAAACCCAGCAGGGCCCAGCAAATCACTTGAGCTCAAGAATCTGAGACCAGCCTGGCCAGCATGATGAAACCTCAACTCTACTAAAAATACCAAAAATTTGCCAGGCATGGTGGCTCATGCCTGGAGTCCCAGCTACTCGGGAGGCTGAGGCAGGAGAATTGCTTGAACCTGGGAGGCAGAGGTTGTGGTGAGCCTAGATCACACCACTGCACTCCAGTCTTGGCAAGAGTGAAACTCCACCTCAAAACAAAAACAAAAAGCAAACAAACAGGCCAAGAATGGTGGCTCATTTGAGGTCAAGAGTTTGAGACCAGCCTACCCAATATGGCAAAACCCGGTCTCTACTAAAAATACAAAAATTACCCAAGCATGGTGGTGCTCGCCTGCAATTCCAGCTACTCAGGATGCTGAGGCAGGAAGATTACTTGAACCAGGGAGGCGGAAGTTGCAGTGAGCTGTGATTACAACACTGCATTCCAGCCTGGGTTACAGAGACAAAAACAAAAATCTATGGAGGACTACTCAAGGCCAGGAGTTTAAGACCAGCCTGGGCAACACAGGGAGACTCCATCTCTACATAAAATTAAAAATTTAGCCAGGTGTGGTGGCGTGCACCAGTAGTGTCAGCTACTCGGGAGGCTGAAGAAGAGGACTGCTTGAGGCCAGGAGTTTAAGAGTACAGTGAGCCATGATGGCTGGGTGCGGTGGCTCATCCCTATAATCCCTGCATTTTGGGAGGGTGAGACAGGCAGATCATGAAGTCAGGAGTTCGAGACCAGCCTGGCTAATGTGGTGAAACCTGTCTTTACTAAAAATACAAAAATTAGGTCAGGCGCAGTGGCTCACGCCTGTAATCCCAGCACTTTGGGAGGCCGAGATGGATGGATCACAAGGTCGACCAGCCTGGCCAACATGGTGAAACCCCAACTCTATTTTTTAAATAAATAAATAATACAAAAATTAGTCTGGCATGGTGGTGCATGCCTGTAGTCCAAGCTACTCAGGGGCCTGAGACGGGAGAATCGCTTTAACCCGTGAGGCAGAGGTGGCAGTAAGCCAAGATGACGCCATGGCACTCCAGCCTGGGTGACAGAGTGAAACTCCGTCTCAATAAAATAAAATATACAGTGAGTCATGACATGCCACTGCACTTCAGCCTGGGTAACAGAGCAAGACTCAGTCAGGAGAAAAAAAAAAGGGCACCATCACATTGAATCTTACTATTCCTTTGCCATCTATGTTCCACAAAGGTAAAAAAAATTTTTTTTAAGAGACAAGCTCTCACATTCTGCAGCACAGGCTAGAGTGCAGTACTGTGATTAATGGTTCACTGTTTGTAACCTTTAATTCCTGGCCTGAAGTAATCCTCCCACCTGTCTCCCAAGTAGCTAAGACTACAGATGCAAGCTAACTGTCAAATCTTTTGTAGAGATGGGGTCTCCCTATGTTGCTCAGGCTAGTCTCCTGGACTCAAGCGGTCCTCCCACCTTGGCCTCCCAAAGTGCTGGCACCTGTTCCACAGGAGTAAATTTTAACCCAATCCTACCAAAAAGTTCAGGGAAACACTAACACTTTCTTTGTATCCTTTTGTGCCCGTCTCTGAGGGAGCAGGGTGCTACTTAAAGTAAATAAGGCAAGGCCATTTTTTTTTTCACCAATTAGAATTTTACAATCTTTAACTTGAACTTCATTTTTTCCCCAACATATATTTTAATAACTTATGTCTGTAAGACAGCTGACCTCTAAGAAATAAAATGTTATCTTACGTTCGAAATTATGAAAAGGATTTTTCAATCTTCCTGTTTTTAGTTTTTCAGTGGCCATCCATTCTTTATGTCATAAGCCCCAGTAAGTCGCTCATAAATAGCTCTTAGCGGGTGTGAACATCATGTTCTACCCAATCTAAGCAACTCTTTAAAAAATGCAATGCCGGCCGGGCATGGTGGCTCACGCCTGTAATCCCAGCACTTTGGGAGGCCGAAGTGGGCGGATCACGAGGTCAAGAGATCGAGACCATTCTCGCCATAATGAAACCCCATCTCTACTAAAAATACAAAAATTAGCCGGGTGTGGTGGCACGTGCCTGTAGTCCCAGCTACTCGGGAGGCTGAGGCGGAAGAATTGCTTGAACCCAGGAGGCGGAGGTTGCAGTGAGCTGAGATTGAGCCGCTGCACTCCAGCCTGGTGACAGAGCAAGACTCTGTCTCAAAAAA